GAGCAAACTGTACACAGAGACAAAGCTTCAGTAGACAATTGCAAAGAATATTCAGAAGTAATGGTACTGTAGTGCTGGTGTTCTGTATAAATCCCTCTTTTTAAGGGTGGCAAGGAACGGAGGAGAAGTGGCCAGGGGCTGTCCCTGATCTGGCCTGACCTGGAGCCTCTTCCTGTTGACCTGAGTCTGATTCTGAGTCTGATGCACCCGCTGAAAAGGTCTCTTTTGGACACCAGGAATGAAACCAGGTCGTGGAGACTTCTCAGTGTCTGTCTGCAGCTGCTCGATATTGGATGCATAAAAGATAGCTGCTTGGGCCAAATAGAATCCATCAATCATACCACTTTCCTCTTTCACTTTCAATTTTCACTCCTAATTGTTAGTATGCAGACCTCTACACCACAGCCTTCTTAGAAGGACTCCCAAATATAACTGCCCCTGAAAAAACATTTTTGCTCAGAATGTCTTCATGGGTGGTGGGAAGGCTTTTACAGTCGCCCACAGGGTTGGTTAGGATACAGTCTACTTTCCCGGTTTGATGATGTATTGGGAGACTTCCCATTTCATTCAAAAGCCCTGTTCTCCATGGCTGTTTGCTTTATGTCCCTTTGAATCAGTTTCACCATCTCTGTCCTCTCCCTCCCATCGCATCTTCCCCACCACACATACATAGGAGGGGTCTTCAAAAAGATCATGGAAAGATTGGTATTATCATTTAATTCCAGTTTCCACAAACTTTTTGAAGTACACGTGTATGCTCTATCTACAATGGCTGAGTTGAAAAGCTGTCCCTTACAACAAATTCCATACCACCAATACTTTATTGTTTATGTGTTCTTAATTTCAATTATATGAAGGAAGTTGCGATGAAATGCTGTGGGACTTTACCTCACTTACATATAAAGGCAATCATTAGGACAAGGCTCATTACAGATTGCAAATTTAAAATTTGCTTGGGTTGGGTGAGACAGTCATGTGGGTTAAAGTTGCTTATTTAGTTTCTGACTTTCTTCCTATTGTTCTCAGAACCCTCCTTGACCTCCCTAGATCAAAGAGGTCTGGATGGATGAGGCGTTATGGCACAGGCTGAGTTTACTAAGGACAATGAGACCTCATGGCTGTTTAAATATCCTCTCAGCACATCAACTGGCCACTAACTTTCTCCACCAGAGTCCATCCCAATATAGCATTTGAAAAGACTTTTGTCTTAGTTCTTCATTACCTTGTATCCATGACCAGCAGCCCCATAGCCAGTGTTGGCTCTTGAATAGCTTAATTGATCAATAATTCTGTTTAAAACCTAGCAGCACTGCAATGAATGGACACTTTCTCCTCACTAGTACCTGTATTTTAATTTTCTTCCTTTCTTGCCATGAATGAATGATGCCAATGTGGGACTGAGAGTGCTAATATGGCAATGGGTCAGAACATGAGTGATGGGGAATAAACAACCATGGAAAAAACATCTGGGGCATGCCTTGGGGACAAGAAACATAAAAGTTAGACAAGAAAGGAGAGAAGAAAAGAGGTAAAAAGTCGGGCCGGCCTGGTGGCGTGTGTGGCGGCGCTCCCGCCGAGGGTTCGGATCCCGTGTGGAGACCAGTTCCCGCTCACTGGCTGAGCGCGGTGCGGGCGCAACACCGTGGGTTGCGATCCCGTTGCCAGTCCCCGGTACGGGTGTGACACCGAGGGTTGCAATCCTGTTACCGGTCAGTAAAAAAGATAAAAAGGAAAAAAAAAAAAAAAAAGGTAAAAAGTCACATTAGAAAAATTTTCAGGAAAGTATTGATTCAACCAAGTGCAAAACATCATTGAGCAGGTAGAAAAATGGACATTGTCTGGCTCTTGGAAAAGAGGTTTCATTCTGACCACTCCTGGTCTTGGTAAAGGGAGGAAATTCTAACCATCCTGGAGCGTCAAAGGCTGGTTTTGCAACTGGGGCTTTTGTCTGGTACTTTCTGGAAATGGCTTTGCTTCCTGAAGGATGGAAGTGGGGAAAGCTTATTGAGAGATTATCTGATTGTAGACATGGAGATGCCTTGGGGTGACAATGGATAAATTAAAATCAGTTGCATGCCCAGTGGATAAGACGAATAAGTCTAGATTCTGAATCTCAGCTTCCTCTTCTAGGAAGCCTTACCTGATCCCCCTTCCCCCATCTTGTCTTATTTTTCTCCTTATTTTCATAACTCGGGTGATCAAATGTCCCAATGTGCCCAGGAAGGTCCTAGTTTGCATTTGTTGTACTTATATAATCATTAATAGCACTCCCTTTCATTTTCCTAAGTACCCTGGTTTGGACAATAATATATGGTCATCCTGTCATAACACTCTGTACTTCTGCATACCATAGCACTAGATCCGCATCCTTCATTAGTCTGAAAAACTTCTGAGTGCGGTCATCTTGTCTGTCTTGTTTACTGTTGGATCCTCAGTACCTAGTACTGAGCCAGGCACACTGTTGGTGCCTCCAAAAGTTTATAGATAGATGGATTATTGCCCATAATCCCATTCAGACTCCTGGGGGTCACCTTGCAGGAGATGCTTTATGGACTATTCTGAGCAAGAAAACAATTACATAGAGAATAAGGGAACTGACCAATCATAAAAGTTTCCCATCCTTACCCTTAGGTAAACTGGTTCACACATGTTGGTTGAGTCTGGCTCCCTTTGCCATCTGAGTGTCATCTAAACAGGTAGCTCAGGTTACTCTCTGTATAGTCCTTGTTGTATTTCAGAGCCACCGTGGCTGTCGACCACAGAAATTACTCCCTGGAAATGTTGCTGTCCTGAAAGGCCAGCAGCATGAGAACCGAGAGGAGGGACAGCAGCAGGGACACTGATGGCTGAGTCCGGCTGGGCTACTCACCGACTTTGTGATATCCCTTCCCACTATAATCCTGCAAAACCCAGTGATTGTCCTAGGATTTACTAATAAGTCGGAGCCAAGGGCTGTGAGCCAGGATTAATAGAAAATGCGCTGCTGGGAACACCCCTGTGGAGAGCTAGAGATTGCCTCTGGCGTTCTCCACCCTCACTTCCTCCCTGGTCAGCCCTCCTTCAGCTTAGTACTCAAACCCCTGATGCAGCCCAGGAATCCTGCCTGGCAGGCCTTGTTGTTCAGCAGGGCCTTTCTCAGGGTTCTCTTGCTAATCAGCGCTGAGGTATTGTCCCTCTGGCCCCTTCCAAGGCCAGGTAAATATGGGAAGCATTTAGGCATGTACCATCCCAGGTAACCAGCCAGGTAGATACCCAGGATGGTCTGGAGCAGAGCAACTGGGGGGAATTCTGAACTGTGCTTGAGAAAGAACACAAAGAATCAATCAGATGTGAGATATAGCCACCAGTAGAGAAATGACAGCATGAGATCAGAGAAGCCAGAAATATTTGGCGTGGTTTGGAGAGCAGATGGCAAAGCTGGTGAAGGCAGAGATGGCAGTGTAGACACGCTGTGGATCAGGGAAACACACTAGTGCCATGTTTTTTGGAGCTGTGGGAGGTCTAAGTGCTGAGAAGGACTGGGAGGTTAATGGCTACTAAGGATTCGTGTGGTATCATGGTTGGGGTTATTTGACACAGGATTCCCGAAGATGCAGTACCCTCACTCCGAGGGCTAATTCTCAAATGGTAGAATTTCAGACAGTGTGGCAAGCCCAGAGGAGGAGATATTTGGAGTCACTAAAGGGAACCATAAAGCTCCTGCTTGCTGTATCTTCCTCCAAAGCTAGAGTTAGTAAGATAAGCTGGGATCTAGGGAAAATGTTGAATTAACACAGGTGCAAAGTCTTATAACTTTTTGATCCTATAATGCTACCTGAAAGGTGAGGGCAGCAAGCTGCTCAGTCATGAGCAAAGAAGGTATAGACACTTCTGATAGTGTCCCTAATAGCACAGAAGGGTGAGCACCCCTGAGTTCTGGGGGCATAACTCAAAGCAGTTTCTTAAGAATCAGAGGTTCTGGTGGTTCCTGTCCCCCTACCTAGGAGTTGATGGGCTGCTACACAGATACTGTGAAACTGATGACTCTTGGTTGGGGGCATCCTCCAAGAGAGGGACCCTAGACTCTCAGATAGTGGTTTCTTATGCACCCTGAAAACAAAACATTCCTGGGAACTTATGGAGAAGTCAATGAAGCCAGGGTGGCTCAGAGAGCTGCCAACTCCCTTCATGCTACCTCTCAATCCTGGAGTTTTAGAATCTCACTAACAGTTTGGCAATACTTTAGGTAATAGCAGCAGAGCTAATTTGTTAATCTGCCAGAACAGCATCCAACATCCTTTTGTACTCTGACACTAGAGTAATGGGAAGGCACTAGCTTGGCCACTGTTTGCCTGCTGAAACTAAGCTTCAGCGTTCTCTGCATAATTCATTTGTGCATGAAATGGAAGCTTAATAGCACAAGTAAAGCACTAAGCAGAAATTGGTGGTAAATGTCTTTTTTAAGTCTTAAAGATAGACTCTACTTCACTCATAAAGCCCTATTTGGTATTACTTACTGGCATGAAACACTTTTCTTTGGAGCCATACCTACTGAGTCATTTTTGACCCCCTGCCTTACCCGATCCCTGCTGAGATGGTCCATCATCCCCTCACTGCTCTCTGCCTCCCCAGCTATCTCCTAGCAGTTGATATTGAGCCCGGCTTCCTATCCTTACAGGACCCCTTACCCTCCCCCAGGCTCACTCTAGCAGCAAAGACTGGAGGCACCCAAGTGCCAGACTAGGCCAAGCCACTGAGATCAGGGAGTGGAGACCCTGCTGTGAGATCAGGAGCCAGGGCCAGGCAGGCATGAGCTAGAGGAGTTGGCCTCTGTTCTTCCAGAACTGGGAATGGCTCTGTGAAATGGCTTCTCCTCAACAGAGGAGTTTCAGGCCAAACTGAGTCTGCTCAGAGACTTTGAAATGCTTGGATGAGTCAAGAGTCCAGCAGACTGGACCTCTAGCTTTGTGGGTCTGTTTCTGGATGTCTATGGCTACAGAATAAATTACCCTAAAATATAGTAACTTAGCACAACCATTTTATTTAGCTCACATCTGTGTCGTTTGAGAGTTTGGAAAGGAGCTGGCTGGGCTGTTCTTGTCTCTGAATCTCACGTTGTCAGGTGGGGGAGGACCCACTCTCAAGGTGGGTCCTCACTGCCGTGCCCAGCACCTCCTGGTTCCTTGGCCTTTCTCCATCTCTGCACAGCACGGCTTCTCCTCCAGAATCTCTCCACGGCTTTGACAGCATGGCACTTGAGGCTGGTTCTCTGTGAGGGAATGTTCAAAAATGAGCATTGGAAGAGGTGTGGTGGGAAGCTGCAAGGCCTCTGAATTCCCAAAGTCACGCAGACTACATTCTATACATCAAGCATGTTGGCAAGTCCAGCCAGGTCTAAGGGGAGAGGAGGTGCAGTCTTCACCTCTGGATGTGTCCACCGGGAGGGACGCATTGATGGGGGCCACCCTGGAGGCAAACTTCCATGGTCCCCCAGTCCCTTAGATAGGACCAAGGCTCTGAGTTCCATTGTCACACTCACATGTGCAAAGAGACACACCCCACACTCCCCATACACATCTTTACAACAGGCGAATTTTGTTGACTGTGGCTGCATACTTCACAGGCTTAATGGGTGCTCACTGATTCAAATTTTCTTTAGATATGGAAAAAATGTATTTTGAAATATATTTGAGCACTTTTTGTATTAGCTCAATGGGTCAAGATGGAAGCATCATGCTGGGTCTATGGCTCACACTCGGTTATGTGGCTCCCACTCCTCCATGGCAATCCCCTTCCTTGTGTCTGAAAATCCTCAGGTCTCAGCAAGGACTGAGTCAACAGTTTCTGAAGAGGAAATTTTGAGTACTAGAGGGTTGAAGATAGACTACTGAGCTGGTTCTGACTCTGGGCGGCAGGTGGCTTCCACCTCCACCTCTTTTTTGTGGTGACCCTTTTCTTGGTCATGGCAAAATATTATGAAAACAAACACAAGAACAAATCAGAGATCAATTTCACCAGCTAAAGGCCTTCTCCAGATCTACACATGAGTGATAGCCCTCCTGCCAACATACCTTTTGAATTTTTTTAATGCTAAAAAAATGTCTACCTTTGCTCTGACCTTGACTTAGTTATCAAGCTTCCTTATGATAACTTGGCCTTTCAAGGTACTATGCTCATTTAATCCTAATTCATTCTTTTTTTCCTTTTCCTTTGCCCTTAACTGTACTGGATGGAAAAAGACAAATCCACCACAGCAGAATAATCATGCGAGTTATTATTTCTTTGATACTTGATTCTTCTGCTAGACTGAAAACTCCGTGAAGGCAGCAGCTTTGTGTGTTTCATTCCTTATTACAAAGCAGTCTATATTGTGTGCAGAATCTGATGCATGTAGACACCACCAAATTGTTCTTGAATAAATGAATGCATTAATGTATTCAATCACATGCACTACGCAACTATCATATGCCAGGCACCGTGCTGGGTTCCAGGGATACAACAAATGCAACATGGTCCCTGCCCTCCAGGAGCTCAGGCTATAGCTGTGTGAGTCCATTTATGTTTCTTGGGTATTTCTTCCTCAGCCTCTGGATCCCTGCACTGCTCATAAACCATCCAACCATATGGAGACCATCCTTGCTACACAACAGCCCAGCTGGTGGCTTCACCAGGCAGGGCGATTTAGGGGTGATCTTCTCCCAACCACCTCCCTTCCCAGCTCTCACTTACCCAATATGCCTCATAAATAAAGGAAGCAGGGGGGATTGCCTTTGCCTTGTGAGCATGAATACTTTCTAAATGATACTGTTCCTGCAGCTTCCAAGAGCCTCATAAACACACCCGGTCTGGTCCTGGATTTATTACATGATGATAATCCCGCTTAGCCAGCTGGTGAGATTCATATCTCTGACCCCTTCTCCAGCTCCCTCCTCTCCCTCACCTCATGTAGGCAGACTGGGGCTGAGAGTGAAAGGTCACAAAGTCTTGGGGACTGTGACTTGGGTCAGACTCCAGCAGCTGGCGCTTTCCACCAACTTCGAGAGTTGCTGCCTTTCCCCATTACACCTGCTCCCAAAGCATCCCTCCCCTCCCCACAGCACACCTCCTAGGAGTTCTGCGGCAGGAAAGCAGGTCTCAGTGGGAGTGAGGGGACCATGCACAGCCCTGCCACTCTCCTCCATGTGTTTCCCCTACACAGCTTCTTGAAGTGAACCAGCCCACGCATGGCCATGCTGGGATCATTCAGAAGATCGCTGCAGGCATCAGCTGATGGCCCTGGAAGTCAAGTCACCTCCTGCCCACCTGCTTGGCCACCCCAGTTTGCAACTTTTCTGGTTTCAAGACCCTTCCATGCTCATTTTAGCTCTGTAATCTGGATTTTCTACCCCTGTACTGACAGCCTAGTTTGGGAGCAGCTCTCCCACGTTGCCTCCAAACCTCAGTTCATCATGACTTCTGTTTTCTGTGATTTAGTTTCTGACACTGAAACCGTGGATAAGAGATCTGGTATGACAGACCCAGAAGTACCCCCTTGCCTGGTGGCCTCCTGACAGAAGAGGGACCTTGGACTTCAGTGACTGATTACTGTGACATTGAGGCCAAGTTGTCATCAGTGTTCCAACGCACACCCTCTGTAGCCTGTTATCTGTGTAGGCAAATGAGTGTCATCCAAATATCTCTCAACCATGCTGCTTCAGCCTTAAGGCCTGGTTTCATACAGTGACATATTAAAAGGAAAAAAAAATCTAACTCCAAACACTTTGAAAAAGCAGAGTAATTTTTTCCCCCTAAAGGTTCTTGAAAAGATGGCAAAGGGGAACATACTCCTATATAACATCACACAGAGAAAAGCACCCTGAAATCCCTGTTTACTAACCTGTCTCTACAGGTCCTATAATACCCAGCCACAGAGCTGCAATATACAGCTATGCAGGTTGTGCACTGTACAACTCTAGGGGGCACCATTCACAGATATGTACACCCCATTACAGATAAGCATTTATTGTAGGAATTTTCTGGTAGATGCTACTAACATGTCTTGAAGAAGGGATGGCTTTTTTTCATTTTGTGTAATGGTGCATTTGGGTAGCGGCAGAATATATGATAACTTTACTAATTCTGGTTTTCCAACTCTTTTCCTGAAGATCTCCAGGCTATTCTGGCTCTCCTGCTTTATATCCTCCATTCCCCTCACTCAGCACTCCTCCCATCCCTCAGATCTTTTCTTTGGAGAGCAGTCCATGTCCTCCCTGGGGCTATGAGTTTGACTTCAGTCCCTTCCAGGTCTCTGGATGTCCCCAAGTTTCACCATTACCCAGAGCAGGTCTGCAGAAGCAAAGACTCGCCCTTACAAACATTGTTATCTCTTTCTCACCAGAGAGACCCCAAGGGTTGACATCACTGTTAAGAAGAAGACTTAAGAATATCGAGGAGATTCAAGAAGAAACGTCACTACACAACAGAAGACCATTTGGCCCTGACCTCTCCCATCTCTCCAGCCTGGTCCTTAAAGTCAGGCAGGTCTGGAGGTTCTCGAAAGGCTCCAGGGACATGTTCCCGTCATCACTTTAGGGTAGGAACTCCCTCTCTTCTCTCTCAGGATGTTAGATTATCTCTGTGGAGTGACTTTCTTTTCTTTCTCATGAAATTAAGTCCCTCCTGTGGTGGCTTCAGCCATAACCCCTGGTTCAGCCCCACAATGGGGCAGAGACATGGCATTTTCTGTCCCCAGCTCTCCTCTGAACAAGATTTCTACATCAGCCGTCTCCTCTCCAGGCAGTATGTCCCAGAGCACAGGCTGGGAGGAGAGGGAACGATCCTCATAGAGCCCCAGATGAGGGGCTCCTCAGGGTGTGCACTGATGCCCCCTCCCACCCCTACCCTCCCAGATCTCCTGTCCATTAGCACCTTTATTCTCTCTCTGGCCCCCTTTTCCCTGGCTGGACCCTGGGAGCAGCTCCCAGCATCCTCTCTGACGACTACACTGCACTTTCACGTTTGGCTGGTGCCCCGAGCGCTGGGTTCCCTGCGGTCTACCATTCTGTTTACTCTGCAGGTGCTGCCACTTGGGAGGCGCTAGCTTTTCTGGCCCCTGGAGAGTAGGTATTTCCTAGCCCTTTGCCCCTCTGGGCCAGCTTCTGCTTAGCACAGCTGATTTCTCCTCATTTGGAGCTGGAGCACCACCCCCTAACCAAGTGCATAACCCTTTCAGGACAGCAAGTTTCACGGAGAGAGTGCCTTCCATCGGACCCTCCCAGAATGATTTCTGCCACTCTTGTGTGCCTTGTCTCCCCAAAGTCTCTCAGGGCTGCTGGTGGACCCGGTGCCTGCCCTCTCATCTGTCTGGTGCTCCAGAGCACCAGAGCCCACATCCACATGGGGGGAGCGGCTCCTGCTCTTTCTACTACTTTTCCTGCCTTCGCTCTTTCATCTCCTCCATGCTCCTGGCTCCTCTGTATTCTCCCTAAATAACACATCGCAATCTAACCAAATCAATCACCCTCACTCAACAGCCTCCCCAGGGGGCCCTTTTGGAGAATGTGGTACAATCTTCCTGTCGCTTTGTCATCTGCTGAACCCCGAGGGCAGTGGGCAGCAGTTGCTGTCAGCACAGCATTGTGAGCAATCAGCTGAGGTGGGGTGGAGAGAAAAGGAGAAGGCAGAGCAAACATAGCTCTGTCCTCAAGTTCTGTCTCAGCTGGAGTGAGCTTAGCTTTCTGATCCACCTGTCCCCTGCCAGACACATGCATCTCTTCTGCATGCCTTTCCCTAGAGAATTCCAGAACCAGAACTGAACGGCTCATCCTCTGGGCCTGTCAGGTAACTGTACTCAACTGTTTTGGCATTTAGAGATGGAATCATAAAGTAGGATGGGATGCTGGTGGTAGAGGCTGGGACAGGACAGGAAAAAGGCTGGAGATCCAGTTAGCACCAGAGCACAGAGGTGAGAAAAAGCATGCGGCTGCCAATATCATTCTGAATGGAGAAAACTTGAAAGCTTTTCCCTTAAGAACAGGAACAAGACAAGGGTGCCCGCTCTCACCACTCCTTTTCAACATGGTGTTGGAAGTACTAGCCAGAGCAATCAGAATAGAAGGAAATAAGGGGCATCCAGATTGAAAAAGATGAGGTCAAACTGTCACTGTTTGCAGATGACATGATCCTATATATAGAACAGCTTAAAGACTACAAAAAATCTTAGAGTTAATAAATGATTTCAGCAGTTTCAGGATACAAAATCAACACGCAAAAATCAGTAGCATTTCTATATTCTAACAATGAACTGGCAGATAAAGAAATCAAGAAAGCTAGCCCATTTATGATAGCCACCAAAAAAATAAAATACACAGGAATAAATTTAACCAAGGATGTGACAAATCTCTACGATGAGAACTACAAACCATTGTTGAGGGAGATTAAAGAGGACATAAAAAGATGGAAAGATATCCCATGCTCTTGGATTGGAAGAATTAACATTGTGAAAATGCCCATACTACCCAAAGTGATCTACAGATTCAATGCAATCCCCATCAAAATTCCAATGACATTTTTCTCAGAATTGGAAAAAACATTCCTAACCTTCATACAGAAGAGCAAAAGACTATGAGCAGCCAAAGCAATCCTGAGCAAAATAAATAAACCTGGAGGCATAACACGATCTGACTTTTAACTATACTACAAAGCTATAATAACCAAAACAGCATGGTACTGACATAAAAACAGACACATGGACTAATGGAACAGAATAGAGAATCCAGAAATCAACCATGCACCTACAGCCATCTGATCTTTGGTAAAGGCTCCAACACTACACACTGGGAAAGAGACTGCCTCTTCAACAAATGGTGCTGAGAAAATTGGACATTCATATGTAGGAGAATGAAACTAGACCCGTACCTTTCATCATATACCAAAATCAACTCAAAATGGATTAAAGAATTAAATATACATCCTGAAACAATAAAATTCCTTAAAGAAAACATAGGAGAAACACTCCAGGAAATAGGATTGGGTACAGACTTTATGAATATGACCCCCAAAGCACAGGAAAACAAAGCAAAAATAAACAAATGGGATTATATCAAACTAAAAAGCTTCTGCACAGCAAAAGAAATGATTAACAGAGCAAAATGACAACCAACAGAGTGGGAGAAAATATTTGCAAAATATACATCTGACAACGGATTAATAACCAGAATATATGAGGAACTCAAACAACTTAACAGAAAAAAAAAAACAAGTAACCCTATTAAAAAATGAGCAAAGGAGCTCAATAGGCATTTCTCAAAGGAAGATGTACAAATGGCCAACAGACACATGAAAAAATGTTCAACATCACTCAGCATTTGGGAAATGCAAATCAAAACTACTTTGAGATACCATCTCACTCCAGTTAGGATGGCTAAAATCCATAAGATTGAGAATGACAAATGCTGGTGAGGATGTGGAGAAAAAGGAACCCTCCTACACTGCTGGTGGGACTGCAAAACAGTGCAGCCTTTATGGAAAATGGTATGGAGCTTCCTCAAACAATTACAGATAGATCTGCCATATGACCCAGCTATTCCACTGCTGGGTATATTCCCAGAGGAACGGAAATCATGTCAAAGGGATACCTGTACTCCCATGCTTATTGCAGCATTATTTACAATAGCCAAGAGTTGGAACCAGCCTAAATGCCAATCCTTGGATGAGTTGACAAGGCAACTGCGGTATAACTACACAATGGAATTCTACTCTGCTATAAAAAAATATATTGAAATGATACCATTTGCAGAAACATGTATGGACTTAGAGAAAATTATATTAAATGAAACAAGCCAGGCACAGAAAGAGAAATACCACATGTTCTCACTTATTTGTGGGAGCTAATAAAAACAAATAAGTAAATATACAAATGAATGGGGGGAGGAGTAAACACAACAATCACAACAATTCCTTGACTTTGTTAAGACAAGTGAACAGATATGATGTTGATGGGGGGGAGGGGGAGACGGAGGTAGGAAAAGGAGGAATTGCTAAAGGGACACAAAAATCAACTATATTGTATATTAATAAATTAAATAAAAAATAAAAATTAAAAAATTAAAAATCTAACCTGAAAACAAAAAAGAAAAAGAAAAAGTGTGCGGGATCCAGAGTGGTCCATGTTGAGAGAACTATGTTGCTGAAGCATAAACCAACAGGGAAGAGGTAGGAGGGAGCTTGGAGATGATCATGGAACACTTGGAGAACCAGCCTAGAGGAAGATACACTATTCTGTGGGCAGTAGAGGTTCTCCGTGGCTAAAGGTGGCCTCACATTCTGGAGACAGCCAAGACTGTCTGCCCAGTCCTTAGGTGGGACGTCTCTGTTCCCAGCCCTATGCCATTGCCCATTTCAAGGCTACCATCACCCCTGTTCTCCCTGCCTTTTATCTCTTCTTCTCCAAGCCAGCCTAGAGCCTGCTGCCATGTAATTCTTCCTGAAACCCAGTTCTAAATCTGTCAGTCATGCTCAGAAGCCTTCAACATCCCCACTACCTATCAGTAAATGCCTTCTCATGACTTAGCCCAGCATTCAAGGCATCTCAGACCTTAGTTTCCCTCTTTTACTCCAGCCTTGTTTCAACTTTGTGCAACTTAGGATCCATCCAAACCACTTGGATCATACTGTGTTTATTCAAAATTATAATGTCCAAACTATCCCACTTCTCCGGGCCCAGTTCAGAGGACAACTCCAACAGGAAGTTTTTCTGACAGCTTCCTCACTGGAACTTCCATTGCATTTTAGTTTTGCCTCTTGGGTCACTCTCTAGCTTGGATTATAGTTATTTATGTGCATATCTTACCACTCCTATTACATACCCAAAGGGGCAGGGTACACATCTGGCTCCTCCAGCTGAGCCGAAAGTCTTGCAGAGCTCAGACAATCAGTACATGTCATGGAATCTGTTCCCAGCTGGGGACTCCCTTCTGTCATGGGTTAGTGGACATCAGTGGTCACCTTAGCTTCTGCCCTCAGAAAAAAATGAAAAGGAGCAGGAGACAAAAGTTATACACAAGCATCCAGAGGCGCCTCCGAGAAACAGAAGAAAGAGAGCAGGCGAGTGTTTATTTCTGGCTTCCCGAGTTGTTTATCATCAGCTTCTCTCAGGTACAGCACACCCTTCACATCCTCACCGGCAATTACCGAGGAAGTATTCAACTAATTTCCTCAACTCCAAATGCCTTTAGTTCAGTCTAATTTTAACACTACTCTCAGTTGTTTTTAAGGATGTAAGTAATCTGAAATGACAGCTGCCTGCATGCCCGCCTGCTGCCTACCTGTGTATCTGTCTGTCTGTCTCTCTTTCATGGGTGGGCCAGGACATGTGCAGAATTTAGGGGCTGCCACCCTTCCTCCACTCTCTGAAAGCTTGCCAGATGAGCCATAGGCTGCTTCTGGCTTGAACAGGAAGAGTGACCCCAAAAATGACTTATAAGCCTTGAAAGCCATCAAGCATTTGTAGGTGTCTCCACAGAGAGCCACAGCTCAGGAGTCCACCCTGCATCAAACATTAAATAGTTTAATTACACTGATTGGTGGGGGGTGAGTGGGTGCGATGTGTTAGACTGGTGGACATGATGAAAGAGAGAAGCGGACGAAGGGACCAGCTCCAGCCACTGACAGATAAATAGCCAAACCTTCATGCAAGAACCAGAGGATAAAAAGCCCACTGAGGAGTCCTCCAAGGAATTCCACTCCCTGCACCGTGGCAGGACTCCTGGCCCATGCTTTATAACATTTGTGTAAAGAATTTCTTCTTGCTGTCTAACCTCCATCCTCCTTGCTCCCGTGTCAGCCCGCTTGTGCTGTTCTATCTCAGTGGAGGCAAAGAATTGCTTGATGGCTCAGTTTTGCTCTTTTTATAAAAACAAAACTCTATTTGAACAGCTATACATCAACATCTACTAACGCTGAATAACATCTATATTTTAAAAATAAAACGCACACATTAAGATACACATTTTTGAACAAGATTATATTATATATATTGTGCCTCCTAATGTACTAAGAATTTCTTCCACCTACCTTTTTGCATTTACTCTTCACAAAAATCTCATGATTCAAATACTTTCACAATCTCCTTTTTCTCTGTTGAAAGTAAAAAGTTCTGTGAGATGAAGCAACTCCCCAGTTCTGCACAGCTTACAAGCCAGCCTGGGACAGGGTCTGAGGGTTCCCAAATCTGCATCTCCACTCCCTGGGCTGATGCTCACTAGTGTCTTCTAAAGATTGTTTTGAAATGGGGAGTGTTGTTCTTTCACCAGTTAGTACCCCCCTCCCAGTCTTTGGAAGCGTTCATTTGTTCATTGAACAAATAATGACTGAGCACTACTAGGTCCTGGGCGCTGGATGGACATTAAACACTGTGGTTCGCTAATTAATTAGTCAAATACAGTTCTGATAAAAGCTACAGGAGAGCCCTCCTACTTCCCACATTCACTCTCTGATTCCCCTATGCTCCCTCTGCATGGTCATACTCCACCCTCCCTCCATGCCATCCCTAACCCCCCAAATCAGAATCACAGCCATTTGTCCCTCACAAACTGCACTAATCCACCAATGCTCTGAGGGATTGATGACCAGCAGCCTTCATTTTCTTATAAGAGTTTCCAGAGAGTTTTTTAAAGAGCATCAATTCTCTGAGCTAGGGTACGTCCAATGTCAGAGGTGGGGTCCCAGGGGTGTCGATAGCAGGCCTCAACCCACCCCATTCTCTTGCCAGGTTCCTGACTCCACCACGGGAAAGAGTTCGAGGGCAGAGTCACAGTAGAAAGTGAGAATGGGTTTACTGTAACAGACAAGAGATACAGGTTCCACAGAGAGAGTGCGGTCTAGCTCCAGAGACCGAGCAGGGCCCACACCAAGTTTAACACCAAAGTAGGAAATACACACTTAAAGTTTAGTACGGAGGGCAGGCTGGCCCAAGAGAGTGAGCAGCCACCTGCTAAAAGTAAGTTTAAGACAAAAGTAAAGCACACACACCTCAGCCAGCAGAGTGCGGGTTGGCCCCAGGAGAGTGAGCAGCAGCCCTGCCTTCTGCTGGGATTCGGCTTTTATAGTGTTGCTATCTGATGAATATTCAATCAAGGGGGTGGCTGCTCTTTTTGGGCATGATCGTTGGTCAAATGTTATCACATGCACCAGGCATATTCAGGAATATTCTGTGCTCTTTAGCACTTCTAGTGGAAGGTCATTCAAAGGATAAACTCCCTTCCATTGAGCATGCTCAGTCACTGGGGTCATATAAGCTGGTATAAATTTCTCTTATTGAGCATGCTCAGCTGCCGGATTTGCATAAGTCCACCCCTGTGGTCTTAATCTCCCTGAATTGGTGCCAAAAATAGGTTCAACAAGCAACAGTAACTCTCCTCTAGGGGAGGGCCTAGAGGATGTGCCTGAAATCTTGGGGAATGGTTTGAAACTTAGAGGCATGTCCTATAACCCAAACCTGTGGAACCTGAGCACCTCCTATCTCACATTTAGAGGCACATGAGGATTTTCCAAAGGGACTATGGGAGTGGGTACATTTAAGGGAATCCATTTCCACATCCATAGCATGCACACACGCTTTCCTAAAACCAATCTGCTGTGGAACATGCTTGCATTGAGACGTTATGCTGTTCCTACCTCCCCACCAATGCTTTTATAATCACATATCCCCACTTTAAAAAAGAAAAGTATTTCTCTTACCTGTTCTAAATCTTACTATTACGCACAACTTGAGTGAAGGTAAAAAACCTCCTGAGCATCAAGAAAAGAGATGATTCAAAATATCAATATGCCAGCTGGGGTTTAGTGCAGGAAACAAAAACCTTTGTGGTAGTTTAAGCAAGAAGGGATTTCATGCAACGAACTAGGCACTTACTAGAAAATTACTAGGAAGGCTGCAAGTGCGGATTCTAGGTAGGTCCCTTGGAGCCACTTCTATAGCAGCAGAGAGCTAGTCCACAGGGCGCTTCTCCAAGCCAGCCCCAGAGCAATGCTTATCTGGCAGTGGAGCCACCCTCCCTGCCCAGCAGCCCCTGCACACCAGGAGACTGAAGATTGGACCCTAAAACTGTGACCCAGGAATTAGAGAGTGACGTCAAGAAGTTGCCCATGTCATGACTGTTTCTTGACACCCAGAAAGCTGGAGATTAAACATGGGAATCTGCTGCAGAAAAATCTCAAAATTCCTGACTAGGGGGAGGCCATTCATAGCTTCAAGCAGGATGTTCCTGTCTCACTTCTGCCTTCCAAATCTCACACAGTGCATCGAAAGGCAAACGTTAACTATACCCCTAATCCTATGTACAAGACAGCACTGAACATACAGTTGTTTGCTTTCCATTGTGTCCAAACAGGAGAGTGAGATGGACATTTAACAGCCACTCCAAGTACCTGCCCCAGTCAGTGTCCATAAAATCTCCTTAATTTCAAGGCACAGTAAATCTTGCAGGGTGCTCCTGTCTTTCCTCGACTTACACATATTTCTGTTCATAATAAGGTATGACATGTTGGGATGTTCCAAATTCATGCGCTGATGGGAATGATGAGTTTTAATTCAAAAACCCCATCTTTTCCTTCCCCAACTCCTGAGGGACAAGCCCACCAGCAAAGAGCAGGGAGAGAATTTGGAAGAAATATTGAAGGCAGCCTTACTTCATCCAGGTAACAAATTCATGGCAAACCTCCATGTAACTTAGAATTAGAATGTTGAAGATTTATCAGAAGCTACAGGAAGTATCAGTCTCCTACAAAGCACACACTCTGCATTTTCACCACACTCGGTAATGAGAAAGAGCTTGGCAGGTGGCAGGTGTTCACCTATGGTTCGTTCAAGTCTCAGTTACATATTTTGAACACTTTCAAGGAGGAGAAGGTGAAAAGTTCCACACTTACTTCCAGCTGCTCAACATTACACCTTAAGTCATAGGAACTCATAGTAGAGGTGTGTCCAGATGCATTTTTCTCTTAGGCCCAATCTCCTTCCTGCTATCAGCCACGTGTCTGTTCATTTATTTATTCCTACCATGAGCTTATGGGATTTAGATTAATTTAATGAAAATAGATTATGGATTCTATCATAAATAATGCTCTTAATGGTAATTATTAATAAATATGCTATGGTATGCCTCCCATTTACTAGTGGCTCATACCTTCTTTGCTTTTGTTATGAATGTTGTAGCAATAATTAATATTCATCCATGGGCACAAATTAATTTTAAAAGGGAGCATCAATTCTCTCATTAAGAAATATTTTTCCCAAAATATTTTGCTTTACATATTTAATATATTTTCATCAAAATTTTTATGTTTGTATATTGTATCGATCAATTATATACTACTAATTATTATAATAGTATTTCAAGGAGAAGAAAACTACTTTACCACTTAAAGCTTTATGTTCACAAGAATTGACTTTAAAAATTAGTCTCGGGGGCCAGCCCGGTGGCGCACTGGATAGTGCGCCGCTTGGGAAGCGCGGCGGCGCTCCCGCCCGAGGGTTCGGATCCCACATACAGACCGGTTCCCGCTCACTGGCTGAGCGAGGCACGGGAGCAACACCGAGGGTTGCGATCCCGTTGCCGGTCCCCGGTCCAGTACGGGGGCAACACTGAGGGTTGCGATCCATTGCCGGACACTGAAAAAGACAAAAAAGACAAAAAAAAAAAAAAAATTAGTCTTAATGTATATATGATAAGATGATCAATGAAAGACTTTAAAGCATAAGACTGTATAATATTACAATAAAATTCCATGCAGAAGTGAAATGAAATTCAAGGGGAAAAATGAATCAAGTAAAATTGCCAACCATTAAAGGGCTTGGTTTTTTGTTTGTTTTGATATTGCTGTTCTTAAGTAGATGCTGGTAGATATCAAAGGGCAATGGTATTTAATTTCCTTCCAACACATCTAAAAGAATGCTGTAGCAATTTTATTATAAAAATGGCAATATTTATAATAACCTGAAAAAACACCTTGTGAAATTATTTAAACATGTAACAAAAAAAAATCTAGTCATCAAATTAAAAATATGTGAGGGAATACATGGTTTTTCTAATTCCTTATAGGAGGATCCCTGTTCTGAAGCCAGCAATGGCCAAACTCATGGAGTGAACTTATAATAAAGAACATTGGAGGGCAGAGGGGCAATACTTTGGACTGCAGCAATGCAAGGAGGTGGCATGTGATCAGCAGGCCTTTCTCTTGCAATGTCTATTTCCACTCTCCCTCACAAATACCGATGAAGGGAGGTATTCTGTGTTGAGTGTAGGCTCTGGAGTCAAACTGCCTGGGTTCCAATCCTGTCTCTTCCACCTACCAGCTGGGGGCCCAGGGGCACAGGCCTTAAACTCTGGGAATCCCAGCCATCGTCTGCCATAGGGAGGCCTGGCCCCTACCTCCCGGGACTGCTGCAAGGACTATATGTGATTGCTCGTGTAAAGCCCTGAGGGTGGTGCCAGCACCCGAAAGGACTCGATGAACACTCACAGTCATCAGCTGTGTTTTCCAGGAAAGAGACTAAGGACCAGAAAGGGTAAGTACATTCCATCTGGCCCAGCAATCCCACCACGCTGTGCTGCCTCCTGCACAGAGCGACAGTGGTGGCCATGGGGCAGCTGCCTGATATTGCCAGCCACAGCGATGTTCTCTTCTGATACCTCCCTGCCTCTCTTGACTTCTCTGCTACTCTCTCTCATGCAGAGGTGGCACAGAAGCTTCTGCAGGGCAGCTGTCCTCGGAGCAGGGGGTTTGCTGGGATGCTGGGTGTGGCCGGAAAGGGGGATGGAGGGCAGGAACATGATATGCTTCAATTCACAAAACACCTGCCTCTGATTTGAAGACCGTTTTGCCTTTATTGAAACCTAAGAGTATCAATTCTTAAAAATGTTACCAAAAGGGTGAAGAGGGGGGGACAGCAAAGGGATTGAGGTTTGAGCTTGTCACCTTCTCTCACAATTGACCCCCAACCCCAGCCTCTGCTCCGGACAGACAAATTGAGGAAGGAAGAAGCCCACCTGGACTCTGGAGCCCTCTGGCTGAGGTCTGTGGTGGCTCTATCCTTTGCCCTCCCTCTGTCCTACAGAGGGCCTGTCAGCCAAGAGCC